AAAGAAAAGAACTCGTCATTTCTTTTGATCATAATTTGTGAACAATCAGCACACAATTTGCGTGTTTCGTTTTTCATTCTCTTTAGACTAAATATACAAATTTATACACACATAAATATATATATATTCAGATAGCGATTTCCTGTTCAATATTAAGCGATAACAACGTATATGTAAATATTGTTATTTTATGATAAGCTTGAGTCACAATTTATGCGATATTATGAAGCCTTGACCACCTTTGGCAGACCTTCGGTCGCATTTGCAGCGTCATCTGCAACTATTAGCTATTAGCTAACACTTGCGATTACGTCTCTGCGCTGCAGTTTATTTATATATATATATACGACTAGATATATATATGAGTGCAGCACGAATGCGCTCGTTTAGTCGCCCCCTTTCGAGCATCGTGCGAATTCTATATAGAATTACGTTCACAGACGTTGGCTGCATTTCGTAATCTTTAGACAAAACAGTGCGATAAAGATGCCCCTTGAAGGGGCGAGGCTGTGAGGCTAAGATTGAGTTGAGATTAAGGGTGGAGGCGACGACGACGATGCTGCCTTCTGCTCGTCTTTTGTTTAGTGTGTCAGTCTAAAAATACCAGACGTACGTCCAATGTTCTCTCTACTGCATTTTAATTGTGCATTTCAGCTGCCGAGCAATGGCAATCTGCAAAGATTCTCACTCTCGCACTCGACGTCTACATGTATCTATGCCAAATTGTTGCACGGCTAACATATATAACAAAATGTCGAATGGTTTAGCTGAATGTTGCAGATATTTAGGTGTTTCTTGCAGCTTTAAAGTTGTGTGAAGTCAGCGAAAGTATTTTGTATGTTAGGAGTGAGAATGTTAATCAGTTGTGATTGAAGAAAGGTAGATGAAGACCTAAGACCCTAGGCTTATTATTAATAAGAATAATTTTACTTAAAATTATTATTATATTATATTATATTATTTATATTATATTATATATATTATATTATATTTTGAAAATGTTAGCAATTATAGCAAAAGAGGTTTACATAGTCATACTTTCCTTTACTTTGGAAGGCAATTCCTAAATTAACTTTTCTAAATTAAACGACAAATTTTTCCAAGACCCAAGCTCAAAATTCAAGCTGCTTTCTAGTGTATATAAAATTCTATAAATATAAATAGACATATTTCTAATATACCCAAAGGTCTAATATGAGATATGAGTGTGTGGTATATACATCTATAGCTAATATATATATATAAAATTGTCAGAGCTCATTGAACATAAATGAAGTAAGAGCAGCTGATGAGACGCAGGGTTAGATCTCGACTTGCAGTTGATCTTTAAGCAATTTTTCTATATACCTAGGAACAGCTTCCCTTATTCACTTTCAAGCTCCCGTCTTCAACTCTTTTTTTTAGCTCCTCTTTCAGTTCATTGGATCTGAATACGAGGCTAGTCGCAATCATGACTGAAGCATGCGCTTACATGTAATATGTTTAGCTTAATTGTTGCTACGTGCATTTTGTTTGCTATCTTGGTAGGTAATTGTTGCTTATTTGCTTGACTGGCTGCTCTGCCTTAGCTCCGAGCCTCTCTGCCTCTTGCCATAGACATTGTATAATGTCAATTACTTGTGATTTACGACAGCTTAATGATAGACGCAGGCCGTCAACGATTCGGACTCAGTCGTTGAGCTGAGCAGAGCTGCTAACAATTTACATGATGTGCGTTTAGCATTTGATGGATGCGCGATATTTGGCTCAATGTTCTTTGCGGCTCAGCGTTGCATGTAATTGGACTATAAAATGTTGCCCGTTGCACTGCTCGTCTTCGCTGCCAAAAGGGCCGCAGCATTAAAATTGTGGGCTCCATAAAATGTCAACAGCTTGCCACATGCCGCGCAGCCGCGTCGCCAAAACTTTTGCGGTGTGACGCAATGCATTACAAAAAGTTAATTTCCAGTTTCCTTTTTTTTTTTAATGGCTTTAGCATTTGATTATTCATAGTGCAAGCTCTGCACAGGTGTTGCCGGCTGTTCCAATCGCACTAAATAACAATTAACCATATTGGGCGAAAAAGTCAGATTTTTCGCTTTTGCTACGCTTTGATTTTGGTTTTGGACGTGCAAAACATTTGCCAAACAACTTTTTGGGGGAATGCCAAATGTTGCTTTGAGTCAGCACATTTGAAGGTGACCATGGGTCGATAACTAATTTGTATAAGTACATTTGTATTAACTAAGAGCTATGCTAAGTAATAAGACAGAACTTACATATAAGAACTATTTAAATAGTCAAACATATATTTATCGATAAACACAATCACATTACATATAAGAAATATTTAAATAGTAATAAAATATATTTATCGATAAACGCAATCATATTATTTAAGCATTGAAAATAGCTCTTAAGCAACTCGACTGCAACAGTTTCAATTTAAACTTGAACATAGTTCTCGATAAAAACTATCGACATATGTGTGAGAAACTTTTGAAAATATTTAATAATGTAATAGACAAATATATATATATATATATATACGTATATAATATTATCGATACATTTGAGTTCTGTAAAGCTATCGATATACATGTCTTTATTATATAAATTCTAAATAGCGATATAATTTCATATAAATATCGGTATAAATGTCAAATTTTCCATTTTGTTTTTAAAATCAATAAATCGATAAATCGATATGTTTTCGCACCTTATATATCTTAATATGGGTTTTAATTAATCGATTTATTTGTGTTTATAGTAGCTATCGATACATATATATCTGTACGATCGATACAAATTAATATCGCTAAGTCACAAAATGGTCTCTCATATAATTATCGATCAAATCACAATTAAACACCAATTATTTATAAAACTTAGACTTCTTTTAGAAGACTCCTCAGCTATTTCAGTCCGATAGAGTACTGTAGAAATCTATCGATTAGTTTCGATATACTCTGTAGCTTGAAATTTAAATTAACTAATACAAATACTTATCAATCTGTTTTAGTGTCCCATGTTAATATAAGTGGCATGAATGGTGGCTCTTTTATAAGCCTCTTCAGCAGCTTCCAGCTGCTTTACATTTTGGAAACATATTTCTTCATTTCTAGCCCATTGTTTAACTATTCTGTTTTTTGTTCTGTCATTTCTTTTTGAATCACACTAATAATTCAACAGGTTCTGCTTTAATACAGCTGCCCGTTGCTTTGGCCACCGACCACCAGTCGAGCGACTACCGAAAGGGAAACGAACTCATTGAAATTCTTGACAAGTTGCGCGCGCGCGAATTGGGTAAAATAATAAAAGAACGCATAAAACCAAGGCGAAGAGAAAAGAATATACATATAAAAAGAAGAACAACGAAATAAACACCAAAACGAATATAAATAAAGTATAAGAAAACAAAACAGACGGCCGAGCTGGGAGCGCGGATATGTGAGAAGTGCAGACCTCATGTGGTGCTGGACGTGTTTTCCTGACTTGTCAAATGCCTGCACGCTCACGCCTACGCACACGCCCTGGCCTCAAGTTAGAGCCAGAGTTTTTCCAAGTCGTATTTATTGGCTTGTCCAATAAGGCGCCGCAAAGTGGAAAATTCGCTAAATAATATAATATAATAATCCGCCAGCCGAAACTCAAAGCCTCTGGCACAGTAGGCGAGCAATATAACTGCTGTCAGCATAAAACTTTTAATTAGAAAAACCTATATAATATATATATATATACATATGTATGTATATGAAAAGTTTTCCCTGGAAAGCCTAACAATGCGCAGCTGCCTTGAAAGGGCGAGCAGCTAAGCTAAACAAAAGCCCAGCTCAATGACAGCGCTAGCAGCAGCCATAGAAAAGTATCTCGCGGCTGCGAGTATCTATGAAGTTGCAAACAATAACTTGACACATATATATATATATATATATATATTTATATATGCGTGTGTGTATGTATTGGGGGAGTTTGTGTGTGTGGTTGTGTCTGGCTAGCAAGTATTTATCATGCAGGAAGCACTCATCATCGAGCAGTGCATTACACTTTTTGCATGCCAAAGCAGGCAGCTTCTGTCTGCATGTGCAAGTTGAATGAACCGTGGCGTCTTTCTATTACATTCTCAAAAGCGCTGATTAAGCAGCTGCTAGCAACAACTGGTAACTGGGTCGGCAGCTGCCTGCTGCACTAAGTCAATGCACAATTATAAAGCGCTGATAAGTACAGACATGCTGTCTGTCAACGCCTGATGCAGTTAAGTCTTGTATTGAAATTATTAAAGTTCACTTTTATCTTTTCGGTGTTTATGAAAGAATTCATGATTGTTGCATGCACTCTGCGCGCTATCAGCTGTGACGGCATGGTCACAGAGTGGGTCAGTGGAGCAGTTCATTTGATTAGCGTTAGATAAGATCTGAATGGAATTTTGAGTGCCATATAGAAACTGATATGGTAAGCAAACGGTGCTAGAACTGAAGCAACAGAAACTGCATGAATATTAAATATTTAAAAAGAGTTTCAAGTAGAATGAATAAACAAATATATGGAAAACTGAAAGCTTACATACGTTGTACTAAAGAAAACTCAATGTTGCTCTAAATTAGTTTTTTGTTTTATCTGAGAGTATATTAAATATATCAAGCAAGTGATATCTTCATATTTTCCAACTAATATCGCAGAAAATTCATGGAATATATATGGAAATTCTTGTTCAACTAGTATTGCAAAATATTTACTAATGATTGAAATACTATCTGTAAGGCAAGTCTTTAGTCTCACAATGCTCGAACAGCTTTTCATTTAATAAAATCTTCATTAGACCTGAAATATAGTATATATCCAAAAATGAGTCAAGTCAATGAACTATTAACCCCTGAGTGACCCCGACACAAGCTCTTGCATAAGAATCTTTTGCCATTCGATACGCCTACAACGTATTTAATTAATTATTAAAAGTATACATTGCTAATTTATTTTGTTTTTTTTTTATCTTTTTCTTTGGTTTTGAAAGTTGAACTCACCTTTAGACAGAAATATTATTTTTTGCGCAATTGCCGCGACGTCTGCAAAATGAAGAAATACAGAGAATAAACGTTAGATAAATGTCAGACAGAGTTATGAAGATAAATGGATTAAAGATATGTACAATAAAATGAAAGACTGCATAATGTCAGCTATTTATTGGTTCTTAAAATTAATCAATGTCGCAATGTCATAAAGCAAAAGACAGGAACATAGAAACTAGAAGCAATTATAGCTTATTAACTATCATAAAGCTGACGACGACGACAAGCTACCTATACCCATAAAATGCCAACTGAACAGAAGTGGAGTCCACCCCCACAACGGGGCGAAAACTTGTCAACTGTAACGCAGACAATCAACTGAGAATGCATAAATTAATATAGGCAGAGGAATATAAATATATGTATAAACATGAAATGAAATGAAATGTTATCGAGTGTGACAACCAAACGTTGACCGTGCAACGCGTGTGTACCCAAGTCTAAAGTCAGGGTTACTTACCAAGCGACTACTGTACTGAAAGGGCGACAGCACACGCAGCTAATTTCATGCTCAGTTGCACAGTATCTTTTATAATTGATAGACCAGTGAGTAGAGAGTACACAGTAGAGAGCAGTGTGGCACGATGACAAAGTAACAAAGGACACAATTATAAAAAGTTGCCAGCAAATACAAATTATCAAAGTAATCTAATGGAGCTAGTTGCGTATACGCACTGCGGTCACAGCAACAACTGCTTTCAGCTTGAAAACTTGCTCGTTGAAACAAAGTAAATAAACTTGAAAGATTGATAATTTAACCAAGTTAGTTCTATAAATAAAAGACTGCTGAATGCACTTTGAAAACTTTTCAGACTTTAAGTTTAAAGTAATTAATGGCCTGACTCTTATCGAGTATTTTATTTTAAGTTTTCCTGAGGCTATTTAAAATACTGTTTTAAATGATTTTACGAGTCAGAAGTATGCTTACTATATCTTTCGATTTGCCATTTATTTTATTTTTTTTACGGGTTTTTAGATTATTTTATTTTCTTTTATAAAGGTTTTTAAATTACTTTATTATTTTTACTATATTATTTTTTTATTTTTTATTTATCTCTTTAAAGTTGTGTAAGTCCCTAAAAAAATATATAGTATTTATAAGAACTCTTCAGACTTTTTTTTGTTAACTTTACCTTTAATATATATTTTATTTATTTCTTGTTGATATTGATATTTCTCTCTTGTATCTTTTACACATATTGAGAAATATCTTTCATTAAATAAGTTTATATATTTTTCCATAATTCATCATATCTCTTAAGCTCTAAAGCTGACTTTTGAGAACAACTTAAGTAATTGTACACACACTTCAAATTGCATATATATTTTGTATTGAAGAGCTCCTCAACTGGTTATGCTTAGTGCACGGTCAGCCATTCCCTCCAGTCGCTACCCTTACTTATTTATGCATTCACATTTTAATGCTTTTTCCTTTACGACCGGCCCATAGATTATTGTATTATTATTAAGTTTAAGTTCGCGGCAAGTCGCACTCAATTGCCATTAGCAAACACATCAACAGCCGCAGCTGGCACTCGCCACTCGACACTCAATGTGCTGATGTTGATGTTGATGACAATGGATACTGCACAGACGGTTCGTTAGTATCCATTAACTGGCATAGCTATGCATAGCTATACTCTACAGTTATCTACAGTTGTTACAACAAATTGCCAATAAACATTGTGTATAGTCCCCAACACCCAGCCCTCCTTGGCTCTATCTACATTATTCTCGTCGCTGTCGTTGACGTTGTCTTTGTCCTTGTTGGCGTACATTTACCCCTTCACATTTGTCTTCTTTATTAAATAAATAAAATTTGCATAAATTTGCAAATAAATAAACGAAATTTATTTAGCTATTTGCCAAGCAAGGATATGTAAAAGCTTTTGATTAGCAAAGGCATGAAAAGTGCACTGATTCATGCATGCTTAGGTAATGTGTGTGTGTGTGTGTGTTTGCTCAGTTGCGCTACATCTGTTCGCAACAAAGTAAATCCTTGGCCTTGTCTGTCAGCCACACCTAGCAAACAGCACTTAAGAAGACGCATCGCATGCGCGTTCGGTTGAGCTCAGCTTGGCATTTACCTTGACCCAACCCAGACCCAACCCAAAGATCAGCTTAACTTCTGCTCAACTCTGTCCAAGTACGCGTAATAGCTCCGATCTTTAAATCCCAGTTCCCCCCTCCCAACTTGGCAGCCCAGCTTAAGTGTAACTAATACGTAGCTGCCCCCTGGGAGTACGCAAACCCGAATGAACCGCTGCTCTTTGATTAATGAATATGCCGCTACTGTTTGATACCCAGGCGCTGCCCATGGAGGGGTAGAAAGAGGGCGTGGCACACATAAAGCATAGAAATTTATGCACGTTTTGATTTGAATCGCTTGCGGCGAGAATCTTGCCCAGGTCGCCACAGATGCCATGTACAAAAATTATAGAACCAGAAATTATAATAAAGTTTGGCGGGAGACGAGGCGAGGAATGGGAATCGCTTGGCAGGTCTGCTGTCCGGACGAGCCGACTTTCAGTTAATCGACTTTAAGTGGTCGTCAGCTCGCGTTTAAATGCTTGCCACAAGTCTCTACCTCGACGGAGGCCCAAGTCAAATTAGTTGAGTCAGCGTTCAATGCTAAGCATATCATTTGTCTTTTTCGACTCAACTTCGATTGTTGGAAGTTAGAGAATGCCGCGACGGGGTTCTGACTTGGGCATCTGTATCGTATTCGCACATATGTATCCGTTGTTGCTTATTCTCCTTGTCTAGTCATGCAAGAAGGGGGCTAATTAGCGACAATCATGTATTATACTCTTGAAGAGAGGGTATTACACTCGTCAAATGAGCTTGACTAAGGTTTAATGAAAGAGTTCGTTGCCTTGAACCCGGAACTGCTAGCAGCAATAAGCAATGCTTATTTAGTATATTTTATGATACTCCTATCGAGTATCGACTATATTTTCGTAGTAAGACAAACATTTTTTTTTATGAGTATCTAAAAGTCATTCAACTTTTTTATATGTATCCTTATGCTACTCTGACAAATAGTTCAATATTCTATCACATATATATTTTTCGTAGAGTATCAAATATTCGTTATTGAATTGTTATAAATTTCTTTTGGCTGCACTCAAGCTTTTGTCTGTGATTAGTTCGAGCTCAATGCCAGCCACTTGGCTGAGTTAAACGCCCAGCACTTTACTTGACCAGTTTCGTATCTCACAGATACATTCCATAAAGTATTTCACAAATATATTGCATAAAATGTACTCGAGCTTTGTTGCAACATTTTTCTTCTATTTTTTTTTTTTTGTTTATATAATTAAGCCAAATATTCAAATAAATTATCAACTAGAACAAATTGCTGTCGAGTGGAGCGGGGCGCTAAGGGGGAGGTCGCGCCTATCAGTTGGCTTGGCAGCTGCACAGTAGCCGCGCGTTCGCTCGGCTTTTGTGATTGTCGCATTGTTGCACAAAAGTTTTACATGATAATAAATTTTGTGGGCCGCAGCAGCAGCAGTAGTAGAGGGCGTGCTGCTGGTATGTGTGTCATGAGAGCTCAGCTTTTTTCTCTACATTTTTTTTGGGTGTAAACGAGTTGAGCAAGCGAGGCAAGAAGATGTTGCCATTGTATCTCGGCAAAGATTCTTACAATGGCAATAGCAGAGTAAGAAGCAGAAGCTATGCATAGTGTTGGGCAACGAACAAAAGCTAACAGCTTCATAAAAGAATGACTGAAATATTGTAAGAGATTTGCATATGCAGCTAAATTGAAAGTGATATCTTAAGCAACTATTATAAATGAACATATTTCTAAGCGTTTCTATAACTCAGTCAGAATGAAAATGAAATTTAATAGAGAATAAGCTTGTAAAGTTTATGAATTGAAGATGACTATAGCAAAATGAGAGCAGAAGTATAGTTAAGAATTCAAATATTTGATGAGAAATTAAAGTTGAGCTATTATATTAGTTATACATGATTTTAAGCATTAGAAATATTAGTTCTATTAGCTGTAATAGCCTGCAAGCTGCCCTTAATTTCATTCATAACCAAACTAAAATTTGTCTAGACTTTCGTCAGTCGATAACGCAGTTAAACCAAGCTCAGCTGATTTCTATTAATCATTCATAATTAATTTCCGCACTCGCATAGCCTTCTGCTATATATATAAATATATATATATATATCCATATTAATATGGATAAAGCTCATTAGCGCACGAGACGAATGAAATTCTTTAGCTTTGCTCCGCAAGCAACGCAACGCGCATAAGTTGAATATTTTTGCAATACTCGTTCATGAAGTGAAAAGAGTATATTGCTTCTTAATGATCTCGTGTGTAGATTAATTGATACGCAGCTCTTGAGCGGCTGGTAAATGAAAAAGAAAACCAAAACTTCCACTGCTTCCTGTCACTGATCACTGTTGATCTTCTCTTAGGGCATGGCAAAACAGAGATTCGTGTTATGTTATTGAATGTTGCTGTTTGTGTTTGTTTCATGAACAAGTATTCTAAAGTCGCTTGAGCTCGACCTCAGTAATTTTGCTTGATATTTGTTTTTCTTTTTAGATGTTGGTCACACTTTGTTAATGCAAATGCAAATGCCAAGCAAGTGCTTTTCAATTGTTGTTGTTTGGCATGCGCTTAATATGCAAAATATGCATTGCTGTTGCTATTGTTGTTGTTGTTGTAGCTGTTGTTGCTGTTGTTGCTTGTTGCCACGACAAGTTGTGGCTGTCATTTTGCGTGATTGCTCATGCGACGAAACAACAAAAGAAATGAGTTATGAATTGCATTTGTGTGTGTCAAAGTGTGTCTGTGTGTGTGTGTGCTAGTGTGGTATTTGTGTGTGTGTGTGTGTGTGCTGCTGTGTATATTACATGCTGCAATAAATCTTAGTCAGCTTGGACCACAGGCATGTGCGGAAGTTGTTATTGCCCAAACCAGTTAAATGATAAGGCACAAATAGCACA